TCAAAGCACTAGGATTAAAGACTGGCTCCCTGACTTTAAAAAAATTACATGGGTCCTTATGCTTGCAAGGGAAATAGTTTAGCAACTAAACAATCTTTCCAGCCCTAATTTCAAATTTTAGTTATTTGGACTTTTACCGAAAAGTCACGTTTCTTAAATGTTGGGAACACACATAAAACTTGAACTTGTATTTACTTCAGGTGATCTGTCTCAGCCTCCAAGTAGATGACTCTAGACTGTACCTCACCTGGCTTAAGTTTTTTATGTTAAATGCTTTTTAAAAGAAAGGCTATGTAAGATTAATTTATCATGTTTTACTGCTCATCTGTTTTTTTTTTAAACCTAACCCGAGGCTGACTATACTCTACAGTGAAAATGACCACTGCCTCACTAAATGTGCCTAGTTAATTAGTGACATGCTTGGCTATAAAAGAAACCTTAACTGCCGCCTTGGCCTATGCAACATCTCTAACAGTAAAGTGCTTTTCTTGCCTTTTCTGTCTTATGATGCTACAGGTTGAACCTGAGGCTTTTACTCCCACCAAAGACACCAGTGTAGTTATGCCGTTCCAAGGACATTAACTACCTACCAATTTTACTTGGTTGTGGTTGTTGTACGTTTTCTCAGCCATAGTTTATTAACAGTGGCACAAGCAAGACACTACACTTTTATAAACACTGCCAACTGAACTGGTTAAAATACTTGCCTGGCATGTACAAATAGCTGGGCTTCATCCCCACCATCCCATAAACTGGCTGGGATGATGCAGGCCTGTAAATCCCAGCACTTGAGAGGAGGTGGCAGGATAGTCAAGTCATTTTTTTGAGACCAGCCTGAGCTACATGGTACCCTAGCTCAACAAAAAAAAATTTACTTTGGAGTTTATCATGGACAATGCTTAAAAACTGCGCTGCTCAGGCAGTAACTGGGCACTTTAGGTGTTCATACCAGACATAAAAAGTTTACTGTTTAACAATGTAGCCCAAGCCATAAAGTGTGTCTGAGATACATATTAAAGATAGCTTGAGGTTATAAGTGAATATGTCATCACTCTTTGTAAGTCATGTCAAACAAACCCAAATGCTTTTGGAGGAACAAATTCCGGGCAGAAGCAAGGTATGTTTCTCTTTCCTCCTTCCTGCTACTCCTGAGCCATTAAAAACTGGACAATTACCATCTCTTAAAGAATAGCGTAGCTGCAGATCTTGGGGTTCAACTCCAAATTCCCTCAATACAGGAGACAAATATTTCCTCCAAGTCTGAATTATTTTTCTTGGGTCAGAAATTCACTCCATTTTAGGCTGGGTATGGTGGCAAAGCCTTTAATCACAGCACTTGAAAGGCAGAGGCAGGTGGATTCCAAGGCCAGCCTGGTTGCTAAACAGCCAGGGAACACAGGATATACAGAAACCTTGTGTGTGTGTGGGGGGGGGGGGGGGTGTTACTGTCTAAAGTAAATAGTAAATAGAGCTGGGGGTGGGGGGACCACATTTTGTTTCACCAAAAAAAGAAAATGAACTAGCAAAAATGATAATCATGATTTTGGGTGCCAAGCTGAAAAAGTGGCTCTTGAAAACAGCCCCTTTTAATGAGTTTAACCACAGCTCATTTAGCTATGTTCTTAAACTGTTAGGAAACAAAATTCCAGTGACTTATACTTGGGTTCATAAAATTAACTGTTAAAGTGCACAGTAGATAGGGCTAGCTACCAGTGTTGACTGTGGGAACTAAATGACTAAAATTTGATACTGTTAACTAATTTGTCAACCAAGACATACCTACTATTCTCAGAACTGCACTGGTATTTACAAAAGATCCACCTTTGTAACTACAGAAGCCAAGAAGGCAACTGGACAACCTCACAGAAGTGAAACCCTGTCTTTATTGAAAACTTTTTGGCTAGACCAATTTTTACAATGTCTCACCTGTAGTATCAGTTTCAGAATCACTTTTGTCTACACCTGTGCACATACTTGTGCATGCACTCGTGTGTGTGTGTGTGTGTGTGTGTATGTGTTTGCTTTTTTAAACAGGAACTTGGTTCTTAGGGTTCTTTTTTAAAACTACTGCATTGCCTGTTGTGCCCTCCCTCCCCATTATAAAAATTCAGTTTATTTTGCAACTAAAAACTACCCAAGAAATAAAGAATGTTTACACTTACTGTTGGATTTATAGATTAGTACGTACCAGTGACTGCTCTGTAGTACAAATAATTTGAGCAGATACTTGTAGAACCACTGTAAGGATTTAAAACAAATAGAAAACCTTATTGGTTTAAATACTTTTTCCTTTTTAATATTTCAGTTACTATCCAAGCTAGGCCAAATTAAACTTTGGATACATTTTTAGCTAATTTACAACATTCTTCACCTCTGAAAGGTCTGGTTTTAAGTTATAAAATCCTAACTTACTGACACAAGTCATAAGAAGGTTATCTCTCCTTTGTTACCTAATGCGTATCCCTTGGTATTTTCAAAAGGAAAAAACCTCAGCACTCAACATTAAAACCACATCACACTAGACAAACGCTTTTAAATCTTGTAGAATAATTTGGTGCCTTTTGGCTTGATGCCTAATCTTCATAAAACCACCACTAAATGCACTCTCTTCAGAAATCAAAGCTATTATATATTTAATCTACAACACAGTTTGCAACTAAGGATGCACACCAGATGCAGTGTTTGTAACTGACTTACCTTGGTTTGGGTAAGATCCAGACAGAAATTGTTTACTTTTTATTATGAACATTATCCCTTTCCTATTAAGTATGTTCTAGAGTAAAAGAACCAGTAGCAGTATTATGCACTGCACTAGTTAAGGAAACCAGAATTCACTGTCATTCCACAGTGAATGGCAGACATCACTATAGTTTCAGCCATGTCCGATACTGTCCCTCTTAAAGTCAGGAGACAAACAGCAGTCTGGTTCTACAGTCTTTGTTCTTCTAGCATGCTCTATATAGTCTTGCTACATGTTAATTAGAACAGCATTTGCTAGCTGTGATTAAAACTAAATTTTTGGTCACTAATGTTTGGGCTAGTAGGTAAACTTCAAAAGTCAATGAAGCTTTGAGAAGATACTTGTAACCATTTCTAGTTAGAAATCAGCATTCAATCTTTGTTTTGTATCAAAACATAGTTCACCCAGGGTTTCTATTTAATTTTAGAATAGAGAGAGAGCTTAACTACTTTTTATGAAGTAGTCTTAGTATGAAGCATCTTTTCAACGTTGGCACCTAAGGACAGGTCCTCACCTCTGAGTCCTTTCAGTTTAGTCCAAGGAAACCAACATCAGTGTTAACACTAAGATATCCTCAAGGGCCACATGTAGATCTGACACAAGCTGCTCATCTTATACTGTGCACCACTTTTCAGAATAATATGTAAGATGTGTAGGGATAACGTTAGAACAGAGATTGAGGGAATGCCCAACCAATGCCTGGCCCAACCAAAAACCTACCCTATGGGAGAGTGGCAAACCCTGACACTATGAATGAGTCTGCTAAACTTGCAGACATGAGCCTGACAGAGTTATCCTCTGACTACTAACCAGCAGAGCCTCAAAACACATGTCGAGACCCACAGCCAAAGGTCAGGTGATGAGTAGTCTTGTGGAAAATAGGAGGAAAGAGAAAATGACCTGCAAGTGACAGGAGTTCTACAAGAAGACCAACAGAGCCAACTAACCAGGGCCCAGAGAGTCCTATGGAGAGTGAAGCACCAACCAAGGACCATGCATGAACTGGACCTAGGCCCCCTACAAAGATGTAGCAGATGGGCAGCTTAGGCTTCATGTGGGTCCTCAGGTAAGGGAAGTAGGGAATGCATGGACTCACTTGCCAGCTTTTTGATCACTTACCCCAGCGGGACTGCCTTGTCAGACCACAGGAGATGATGAAATGCTCAGTCCTGATGCAACTTGGAAGAGCTGGGGTAGAATGGGAAAGGGAGCTTCCCTTTTCTGAGGAAATAGGTTAATGGGGAGGGAGTGAAGGTGGGACTGGGAGGAGAGGAGGGATGGGGCTACAACCAGGATGTAAAGTGAATAAATAAAAATTTTTTAAAAAATCACTTCTATTTCTTTTTTAAGACAAAGCCCTTAAGAAAAATAAATACAAAAGGTGGCCCACTCTTTAAGCAGAATGGTCTCAATTACAACAGAACTGTCTAAAGCAACAGGTAAAGTACTAACATACCAAGACCATTTTTTGGGCCATAGCCCAAGTAGCCCCTTTTCTATTGTAACCCATGCCTTTCTTTTTGTCCTACATATTGATGAAGAAAACCCCAACCTTCTGGGTTAGGGAATGAAAAGATTTTACCTTATCACTATCCTAAAAAATTCAATTTACCAGGACAAAATTTATGATTCAATTTCTTATACACAGTGAAGTAATTCATAAGAACTTATGAAACATCAGACTCAGCATTCTCTTCTAGGTAGTTCTGTGTACAAGCTTACTACATTAAAGTTGGCATAGACTCTGCCCCTTTGTTAACACACTGAAGATTTTAAAAACACTTTATTTATTAAAGTTAAACATACAAAACTGAAATTAACACACACCCTAAAAATTGTCGTCTTCCAATACGGAAGACCCCTTTTTTTCTGTGTTTTTGGCTTAAACTCAACTTGGGATAACTGTGGTGCTTACTTATACCAACAAATGCTGGTAACTTGATCTAGTTAATAGAAGTTACAAACTCAGCTACATGAACATAATATACAGGGAAATTATGGTCAGATTAATGCACAAGAAATACAGGAAAATCTAATCATGGAACATTCAGTACTCTTGTTCATTAATTTAGCCTTGGTTTTTGTTTTTTGTTTTTTGTTTTTTTTTACAAAAATAGTATCTACATTGTATACAGGGCTATACAGCTTTTTTGTTTTCCCATATAAACATTACTCATCCCAAATATGGTACCACTATCACAAGTGAAAAAAATCAAAGGAAAAACAAAACACCAAATAAACACCAGAGAAGGGGAGCACATCCTAAACATGGTTTGTCTGTTTTTTAATATAAAATTCAAATTCAATGACAAAAAGTACAAGATGAGTCGATTGTAGAGGTAACCTAATAGGCCCAGGAAACAATTAATTCAAGGAAAAAAAACCCTCAAAATAAACTTTGCTGTTTATAAATTAACCTATACTTGGGTTTGTCTGGACAATGGCCAGGTTATAAAACTGAAGAGGCTCTCTAGCCGACTGGCATTTCGCCTCGATGTTCTAATGATCTGGAATTAAGTCAAGTGCAAAGCATCTGAAAATTCCAAGTCAGGCCTTACAAATGTCTACACATCAGTTAAACAGGGGCTGAAAGTCAGTAGGTCATCTAAGTGCTGGGGTAAGCAGCGTTTACCTAGAGAAGTTGCCGTGTTCAACAGAGGGAACTGTGGTGTAATAATGAAAGGTTAAATGATAGGAGTTATCAAAGGTCTTCAAGTTTCAATCTACCAAAGCCAAACAACGACAACAATGTATCTTCCTTACTCATCTAACAAATAATTTACCTTTAGAAAAATATAAGGATAAAAAGGTAAATGTAAAGCCCTGCAGAGATGAAATCCAACAGTTTTTCTGATTATTGAGGCATCAAATGCCTGACATTGTATTTAGATGTATCTTGATACTGTGTCATAGGCTTGTCAGCAATTCCACAAGTTCCAACTCCAACTTTGCCTGTTACGCTTTCTGGCGAAGCAAAAATACTCCTCTTTACCTGGAAACAAAGCCAAACCATTTCTGATCAGTATCTCAAACTTTAATGTGAAAATAGAATAAAGTTCCAATTTTCACAAAAGGCACAGCTTTTGTAGAAAATATCACTACATACTACTAGTAGAAAGCTTGCTTGTCTCAAAATGTTAGGTTCTCATTCTCAAACCCTATTTAAAGCGTGAGCGGTCTAGTGTGGCGTGAGAAGCTCTGGCTGTGATGAGTTTATGTGAGCCTGCTGTGGTATAGGCACTGGAATGGAAGGAAGAACTACTCAGCAGCAGCCACGTCTTGTGAAGTGGCTGCCTTGACAGCAATAAAAAGATAAAACTACGGGGTAACATCACAGGTCACCCTTATTCTGAGTCTCTCAATTCTAGTTATTTCCTACCCAAGAAAACTTAAAAGCTTTTTTAAATACTCAGAATAAAAGTATGTTTACAAAAAAAAAAAAAAAAAAAAAAAAAAAAAGGCAGTGTTCAGTTCAGTGTCTTTTCAGAATGGTTTGAGGATACCATACAGTCTTAAAATTCTTGACATAAAGTTTTATTGCAAAAAGTGACTAATGACTACTGAGAAGGACTGAAAATCCAATTGGTTAAAATCATGTCCTTTGGGGCTGGAGAGATGGCTCAGTGGTTAAACGCACATCTGTTCTTCTAAAGGTCCTGTGTTCAATTCCCAGCAACCATATGGTGGTTCATAACCATCTATAATGTGATCTGATGGCCTCTTCTGGCATGCAGGTGTACATGCAGATAAAAGCACTCATATACATAAAAATAATTAAATATTTTTTTACAATCACATCCTTTGGAAATTTTACACCTCCTTTTTTCATTTTGAAGTCATTTTGCTGTATTTTCAGACTTACAAAGTGATGAAAGATGTACCAACCTGGCCTTTTTTGTTTTTAGAGTAAGCCCGGTTGTTGAACTGTTGCCATTTCACCTTCTGGTCCTCTCGTTCCTGCTCAAGCTCTTTTATTCTCTGTGCTTTTTTCAAAGCTTTTTTCTTTTTATATTCACGCTGCTGGGCAATCATTTCTTTTCTGTGTGAAAACCCAGATGTAAATGTCAATTATTAAGGTTTAAAAGATGACTTCCCTGTTAAACAGTGTAAAAACAAAACTCACATATTTATTAACAAAAACACAACTTTTCATTAAAAATCAACACCAACATCTAGGTACGGTATAGCACGCTTGTAATTCTAAATGGAAACAGGAGGATCAGAAGTTCAAAGTCTTTCTTGCCAAGCTAGATGTCAGTCTGGGACACACATCGGAGTGTCTTAAATAAAGAAAAACAGGGCTGTAGAGAGATGACTCAGAATGTAAAGCAATGGCCACCAAGCCAAGCCTCGTGAGCTAACATGAGCTTGACCCTGGGATCCACAAGATGGAAGAAGAACAAACTCCTTCACGTTGTCCTCTGACCTCCACTTATGTCACAGTACATATGTGAATCCACAGAGTAAACATGTAAAATAAGCAATGCCACTCACAGAGTACTATTAATAATAGACATGTTCTTCTATAATGAAGGTAGATATAGCTCAGTGGTAGAACACTTGTTAAGCATGCCATGACCATGGACTCTGCCCAGAAATGACAACGAAAGTTTCTGTGCATATATACTTAGCTCTACTACAATGGAAAACAAATCTTTCAATGACTTTCGATTTTTTTACACAGCTTTTGCTGGTTGTACTTTAGGAATATTAATATTCAATACATGTGATGGAGCGCACCTATAGTCCTACTACTTGTGAGATAGACGGAGATAGATCAGGAATTTAAGTTGTACCTCTAGCCTAGGCCACATGAAAGTCATTCTTTAAAAAGAAAAAAAAAGCTAAACCTTTATCAATTTCTAAAAATACAGTTAACACGTACAATGTATGCAAAAACTTGGGGAAATTGTATGAAGTGATTTAATGATGATAAAACAATTTCATCAAAATTGGAGGAAGACAGCAACCAAAACTGGAAGAATGACACAACCAATATTCTCAGTGAGATCAGCAAAAACCTGGGCTTCCAAAAAATAAGATTATAAGTAGAACCACAGCCTAAGCTACCAATAATCTGTTTCCTAACAGCAACTAATACAATAAAAGGTTTTTTAAGAGAACAAATCCTGATTGCCCTCTACCAAAAAGCCAAACTGAAGCTAAGTGGGTTTTGTTTTTAATACAGAAAGCAGAAGTGAAACAAGAAATTAGATGAAACAAGGTTTTACCATCTGACTTTCTTAATCAGGAAGTTTAAATGTTATTTTAACAAGTGGTATTTTTCTAAATTCAACTACATGTATGTAGCAACTTAAATTTTGGACATTGTTACAAGATTTTGTTAATTCTGTACCACCTTTTTTTTTTTTTTAAATCAGAAGTGTTGCTGCCCAAAGTGTTACTTTGCTAGCTCTTGTTTTAATCATTAGTTTAGATGTCATTTTCCCAAGGAAACTACTGGTAACTACAGTGCCCCTTTATTATCCTCTTAAAACTCTATGTCCCTTCCCAATTTCCGCACTTGACAGTTTATGTTCTCCCCACCCTGAACCTTTTGTGGTACCAGGAATTTATACTTATTAGGCAAAGGCTCCACACCTAATCTACACCCCTGGCCCTAGCACACTTGCCCAACTATGTGTTCTTTTCTGAATACAGATTCAGCAGGAGTATGGCTCATGATGGTGTCTAGTTTTAGAACCTGATGTGTCTGTGACCCTTGCATGTAACCTGAGTACTCAAAAGACCAAGGTAAGAATGAGAAGTCCAAGCTAGCTTGAGTCATATAGTGAGAGTCTGGCTGTCTTGAGAGAAACAAAGTCACTTACTTTGACATGGGCTTGTTGCCACTGTCCTCTTTTGCCTTCCTTCCTTCTTCTACAGGCTTGAGGTTCAACAATGGAGTGACTTCGGCATTGCCATAACCAGCAAAGGTGATTGCAGCGGTGCCATTTTCTTCATCTATCTCCTCAATCTCCGCTTCATAACACCTGTAAAGATATCATGGCTGTAAGCAGGTGAGTAAAGATTTAATACTCAGCCTATAAGACTTATACTGCAGTGATTCAATTATCATGTCTCTAAACTAAACTCTGCATTCAAATGGCCCTTTGGGCAAAAATAATACGAGAGATTTAAAGTTAGGTACCTGATAATCAAAAGTCCTAATTAAATTTTACCAGAAAAATCTTACACATCTACTTACTGTATTAAATCTCTTTGAGAAAAGCTAATTCTTAAATGATTAATTTCAATGTATGCACTTGAGTACAATGAGATTACTAGTTATTTACTTTTCAATTTGAGGAGAAAACAATTCAGATCATTTTAGAAAACAGCCATTCATCTTTCTTTCCTTTAGGATCCTAATCTCTCTTCTCCCCAAAACTTAACTAAACCTAAAATTAAGTTGTGTTAATGACAACCACTATGACTTACACTAGTTTTTTATAAGTCACGTTACCTACACAGATGGTTAAAACAGTGTAGTCCAAACTGAATAAAAGCATCTTACCATGTATCTTATTAATTCATGTTATAGTTAGAGGGTTGTTTTTCTACACTTACTGTCCATCTTCACTCCAGATTGCCATACACTTGTCCCCTACTTTCCATGAATGAGTGGGCTGAGCAGAAGCAAAACTGTCTGAACTTGTAAGAGTTTCTGAAGGTTGAGTTGACAGAAGATCTTTGGTCAATTCTATAACTTCCTAAAAAAGAAAACAAAAGCCATAACACTTGTAATTTAATACTTTCAACTACTTTCTTTTGGTTCTTAGTAATAATGCTTGTATCACGAAGCAGTTACATATGTTGTATATACAGTTCCTAGTGCTATTGAGAATACTGTTTCTATGTCCCATACAGACTAAGGAAGAGCATTTATATACTAATAAACAGTGCAGCTGTGATGTAAGCCTATGCAGACATCTTCAAGTTAACTGTAAATACTATCGGAAATAAAAGTAGGTATGTTTCAGCCATGTCAGACTTCTAAGTGCATTTTGTGACTGAACAGATTTCTCCACAGATGAGAAATAGAGACTGAGTTTGACTCAAGGTCACTTTCACAACTGCCATGTATATTTCATGCAACTACAATTTTATACAGCATTACTTGGCAGAAATATCAACTGTGTACCCAATATACCTCCCCTTTAAAGTCCCCAAAACATGGAAATAGTCTCATTAGCACACACACACAAAAAAGTTCCTCCTTATACACATTTCTACTAAAATACTATATAAAGCATAAATAATTCAGTAAATTTTCACCCCTTTAAAGTGCTAATCATCAAGTTAGATTTAAAATAGCCTACCCCTACTTAACAATTACAGTAGCACATCTTCACTTTAAAGAAAAAAATAAAAGTAACACGGGCAGGCAGTGCCTCTGTGTGTGGCAGACTATTTTTCTAATTCAGGCTTCTTTATCAGTTTGACTCAATGGTGAGTTAGGAACAGTTAAAAACTTTAAACGGGTACTTAACTACTTATCTGCTACTTTCTTACTGTAATGAAAATGTACTCTATTCACTGTCTGATTTTTACAGAACTTGTCTACTGGCTTCCCACAATGCTGCATTTAAAACATCATAGTCTATGTTTGGGGACAAATATAGGAAAATTAAACTCTTAATTTCTTCAGGCACCCACTGAGGTTTAGTAATAGTTGTTTTGATTCAGTAGCCAAGAAGGGTTAAATATTACCTCTCCTGAAGGTTCTACATCTTCCTGGCTACTTCTGAAAACCTAGTATTTGTGCCTTAAAAAAAATTTTTTTAAGTACCTGGAGAAGGGTCAGTTTCATTTTTGTGAATTATAACAAAATAGATTTGAGTTGAAATTTTCATTTAAAAAAAATCTCTATAATAGGGTCAGTTTTGTGAATTAAAAAAAAAACAAATTTGAGTTGAAAATTTAATTTAAAAAGATCTCTAAGTTTTGCCAAGTAGACACATTTTTTTTTTCCTTTTGTAAGTCATTGGATGCATGGCTTCATATTCATTAGTTCTGCAGCACTAAAGACTGAACCTAGTCTTGTGCAAACCACGCAAGTCTCCTACTTACTGTTAAACCTACAGCCCTCAAATATTTTTCAATTAAACAATTCTATGTAAATAAAGCAGGAGAGTTTCCAATAAATGTAAATTAGCCAATTCTGTTCTCTGTTAACCATCTTCAGAGACAGGAATATAAGCCAATAGGCCTGATTCAAGAGCCCACTCTCTTTATCATTGCATCTCCTTCCAGGGTTCATGTATTTAAAGCACAAGCATGCATTCTGTCTATGTAAGGAGTCTAGATTTAGCACCTTTTCTACTATGACAGAACACTTCCCCATCACATTCATAAGAAAATATATTCACAAGTTCTAAAAAAGCTGTGTATAATTTTCAAAGCCCTGTGCCAATATGGCCCTTTTTATAAACAACAACAAAATCCAGGGCATCTACTCCTAATGTCCTGTAACTCTATCATTTTACATGACCCTCCCAGTAATTTATGAAGAACCTTCTCAATTTTTGTCTTCACATGTGTATATGGACCAAAATATTAGAAAAACTATTTTATGTATGAGGGGGTTCTTGAAGGTACATACCATTAATTACTTTTCCTCCCCCAAGTCTGAGTTCTGAAACTGCTCCTTCATTGACAGATGGGCAGCAGTTACAGTAATCGGCAAATCCAGGAAGCATCAGGTGTTGTGATCTACATATCAGCAGGTCAAAGGGGGTGCACTCAAGCACTCTGCTTACTGAAGGAAGGCGTTTCGGGGATGCAGAGAGCCACTGTAATATATGAGACAAGTGACTTGACCCCTGCCTCCTTTAGAACCAGTTTATTCAGCAATACAGCCTAATAAATTGACTATTTTGTGATTATAGACTGCCAGGGGAACTAATGAGCTAGCTGATTTTACTATACCTACTTTCTCTTCTAAGTGAAAAAAACGTAGCACATAGTTAGGACTTGAAAAGATTAATTTGTTGCCTGAATTTATTATTCTATAGGGAAGGCAGAAACATGGAAACCTTACTGGAAAAATAAACGTAAGAAATTAGAAGCCATTATGATGGCCCCCCAAAAAGAGAGTGAAAAAGCCACAATCTTAATAATAAATCTAATCAGGATTTAAATCTAGTGGCACAAGACATTTATGCCTCCCAACACGATCAGTGGGTAGAGGGGAGATCCACACCAAAACAGAAGATACTCTCTAGCCTCAATGCAAACACATTGAGCACATATCAATACTTGGTTGGGAGCAAATACCCAAATACTTCTCATAATTTTACCTAATTTTAAAAGATGATTTCCATTTTCTAATAGTTTTCAGTTCACAGCATACCTAGTAACCAAAACCAAACTTCTCATAATAGAAAAAAAAAAAAAAAAATGATGAAGACTGGCCAAAACTATCACTATTTATGGTAGTTAGTAATTCAGCTCATAAATCTGCACCATCCAGTATTTAATCAACTGCAGTTATTTAAAATAAAATTAAGAAGTAGCTCCTCAGACACCTCAGCCGCATCTCAATTTCCCAGCGGCTCCATGTGGCCAGTGGCTATGGCAGAAACAGCAGACACAGAACATGGTCCCCATCACAGAAGCACGTCCTACCAGACAGCGCTGGTCTAACTGGCTACAGAAGATGCGTTTGTAAACATAGGACATCAAAGTCATTAATGCTTTCTTTTTTTTTTTTTTTTTTTTTGTTTGTTTTTTTTTTTTTGGAGACAAGGTCTCACTTGACACCCTGGCTGGCCTGGAATTCTCAAACACACAGAAATCTGCCTGCCTCTGCCTGATTTGTTTGTGCTTTGTTCATTTTTTTTTTCCAGTGCTCAGAACTGAATTGTAGGGCCTACTGTATTCTCTAAGCAGTTATATTGCCAGCCTCCAGATCATTATTAACTGAAGACTTTTAGGTAAATACTGTGTCAACCACAAGGGTTTCTCCCTATTATACTTTGTATTATAGATTTATATCAAGATAGGTGACCCCATACTCCAAGATAATTTACCTTAGAAACAAGACTCCCAACTCCCCCTCTACCATTTCTACATAGACCTCTCTTCCTCCTGCTCAGGAAGCACATAGAAATGTTTTTTTAAGTCAGTACAAGTAGACCGGGGCGGGTTAATGTGTTTGTTACTTCACCTTCAGTATGCACTCAGCACAGGTGAACAAATCCAAAAAGCAGGCAGGAAACAAACACCTGGGTTGTTTACAGAAGACCTGTGAGTGGGAGACAGTTTCCTAAACTTGTCTTCCTACTGAACGGGCACATGCACTCCATAGCCTGGCTTCCAGACACTGAAGGAGAACCTTATTCAAAGCAAAATTATCCTACATATTTTGTTTTTAAAAATATCATATAATTTATTGTAAGTATAAAATCTGTGTTTGAAAATGTCTAACTCATTTTAAATTACAGATAAGATCTTTCAGAATCCCAAATCTATTAAGCCCTTTTCAAGGAAGCTATATTTAAACTTTGGTGAGTGGAGGATGTTTTTTTGTTTTGTTTTTTTGAGGTAGGGGCTCACTAGGTAGCCCTAGATGGCTTAGAACTCCACCTCTGCTGGGATTAAAGGTGCACACAGTTGCCAAAGTTTAATGATGTTAGTGACCATCAAAAAAGATAGAATGACTGTTTAGATGGGACACAGGACAAGCAGAGATTATCAAAGCACACTGAAAATGACTAAAGGACCAGGCTCAGAATTTTAAGTTTTTTTGTTGTTGTTTTGTTTTTCAAGACAGGGTTTCTCTGTGTAGCCTTGGCTGTCCTGGACTCACTTTGTAGCCCAGGCTGACCTTGAACTGCCTTGCCTCTTGCCTCCCAGAGTGTTGGAATTAACAGCATGCACCACCACACCCGGCCTTAAGAACACTCTTAAGATGAAATTATTTGTCTATAACATGTATAAATTACATTTAGTACTTTTCTTAACCTGTGTTCTGAGAAGCAACAGATATTTCTGTTTGTCCTAAGACTCCAGTGTGTCCTTACGTGTTTCAGTCTTTTAAATCCTCGAAGGAAAGGTTAAACCTCCTTTTAATACTAATTCAACAAGGCTCAACAACTACAAAGCCTAATCTTAAATTCAAATACCTGTGTAACATCCACACAGACAGAATGTTACCTCTTAACACATTTTCATGATGTATTTTTAAACAGTATTCCCCATTAGCCTTGAAAAAGGCCACATCTCGTTTCTAACTAATCTTGTGTCAAGATCTTAATTAGGTTTTACACACTTCTCCTTTAATAGGGTTACTTTTGAACTAAGTTTTCTTGTTAAGCCTTTTAAAAATAAAAACATTCCCTTTCAAGGTTTCTTCTCATGAAATCCTTATAAGCACACACAAGATTCACAAAACCGTGAGTGTTTCATTCACTTTGATCTACACCAAATACAGGAGGCAAATTCAGAAGCCTCAGTGCCTATATAAAGGTGTATATGGATACTCAAGTGGGAACACCTTCCTCACAGATGCTTTCAATGCCTATGGATTCTCAACAATACAGCATTTTAAAAAGACAAACATTCTTTTCCACCATCATTAACTCCAACTGTCCACCTATGCTTACTTGCAAATCCTTCTTCAATTTCAGCAGATCTTCATTTTCTCCGTTTCCAGATAGAGCAGCTTCTACTTGCTGGAGTTGAGCTTTGTAGCTAGCCAACTGTTTTGCTAGATCCTCTGACATCTGAAGAAAATAAAAATGAAGGACCATACAAACTGGGTCAAATATCAAATTACAAAAATGTTTCTCAACCCGCCTAATCACTTTTACTCCCCAAATACAAGTTTTATTCATCATCATTTGTACTTTCTTCAAATTTAGCTAATCCACAAACTTCAAGGCAATAAATTCTTAAGATTACAAACATGTCAGCTAGATTCCACACAAAAAGATTCCCCAAAAAGCATGCAAAAAAAAAAAATAAATAAAATAAAAAAAAATAAAAAAAAAAAAAAGCCAAGTGTGGTCGTGAACGATTTTAATCCCAGCACTCAGGAGGCAGAGGTTAGGTCTAGCTCTGTGAATTTGGGGCAGTCTGGTCTGCAAAGCAAGTCAGGACAACAGCCAGGGCTACACAAGAGAAACCCTGTCTCGAAAAAAAAAAGAAAAAAGAAAAAGAAAAGAAAGAAAACCGATTTTCCTTTATAGGAAGTGTAGCTCAACAATAAAGGCTGTAACATACATCTTAAAAGTCAAACCCGGCAGTGGTGTTGTACGTCTTTAATCCCAGCACTTGGGAGGCAGAGGCAGGCGATCTCTTGAGTTGGAGGCCAGCCTGGTCTACAGACTGAGTACCGGGACAGCCAGAGCTACACAGAAAAACCCTGTCTCGAAAACAAAAGCCGAAAAGGTCAAAATCAGAAACGTTAGCACAGACAAGTACTTCCAAAGTCAGACAAAACCTCTTTTGGCTAACTGCACAAGTTCCTTTCCTACTACCCAACTGAAAGTGTACGTAGTTCCTCAGAACACAAATACTCTTCACTTATAGGTGATCTTAGAAACCTGCTTTTCGCCAAATCCAGCTCAACGTCCTAAAAAGTGAAAATACAGATAAACCCTCCCTTAAAGTGTACGCAAACATACGGGTCCTCTGAGGACCCTCTCCGGAACATTCCGGGCCACCGGAAGCCTGGAATCCGGGCAGACCCTTCCAATCTGAAGGGTTCAAACAAGTCAGCTCTTCTCCCAGTCACCAGCTCTCCAAAGCCCGCCATAACTCTGTCGACCATTTCCGACTAGGAAAACCAAACCCTCGGCTTCCACAGAACCTGCGGAGCCCCACGTCCTCACCGGGGACCTCGTAGGAACGGCGCGGGCGCCTCCCCCACCCGGCGGGCTCCCGGGACGTCCACGTTCGCCGCCTCGGCCTGGAAGCCCCCTCGCAGGCCAGGGCCGCCCGCCACGGGTGAGAGGGCAGCTGGCTCCTCGCCCGGCCAGGGCCGGGACCCGCTGTGGGGCCGGCGCCCTGTCTTCGGGCCTCCGTCTCAACTCCAGCCCGAGGCCCGGCGAGGCCTGACCCTCCCTCAGAGGCTAGTTACCTTGGGCGGGGTTGGGGACGGGACGGCGGGCAGGGGTCGGGGAAGCGAGCCGAGCGGCGGCAGGAGCAGCGGCGGCACGGAAAATATCCACGACAAGGAGAAGATTCGGTCGGAAAAGGAAAAACTCCTCCGGCGGCGAGGGGGGAGGGGAGAAAAGCCGGGCTAAGGCAAGAGGAAAAGACAAGGCGAGCGAGATCTCGCGAGACATACATACTCTCGCGAAATGGCGCTTGAGTCACGTGATTCGCGGCGTCCTCTAAGCTGCCAGCGTTTGCGCACTCCGAAGGCGGGGGTGGGTGTGGTCTAATAGGCAGGAAGTGACCTGCTTGGGCTGCGCCAGCGGTAACGTGCGGGTTTCTCTTACGTCAGTTCCGCCTTGTGGTGGGAGCGGCCAGTGACCCTCTGTTGTGGGCGTTGCCCTCACGTTCCCTGGGCGTAAACTCGCGAGTCTTTCGTGTCAGCAGTGATGAGAAAGATGGAGAATGGGTTGAGCGAGAAAGTTCACGCCGCCCCGGCACCGGGGAGGCAGAGGCTGTTGGATCCTCTGAGGCCAGTCTGGCCTGAATAGCAAGTTCCACACCAGCCAAGGCTCCATAGAGAGACCTTGGAAGTCGAGAGAAGGGAAGTTTTGTTTTGTTGTGTAGAAAATAAATGTAGCCAGTAAAGGTAGATGGAGTGATCGAGTGGGAAAAGTGACCATTTGGGATGCTTACACATTACCCATAGAAGCTTCCTTTCACCACCATACTGTGGTGAAAGGAAGTAGGAAAAGGGCGATTGTTTCCAGAGTTAGGATGTTCACACAAGTATGAAGTATCGTATCCCACAGGGAATAAATAATTACAATGAAAAGTTGGCATTCACCTAATTATCTAGTAATCAGCTTCAGCGTCACTAATTGTGAGACAACCGTACTTTATGCACTTCTTAACCTAGTGAATGTCAGCCTGAATGACTGACACCTATAACGGAATATAATCAAGGCTTCCAGTTTAAAAGAAATGCAAGCATAAAGAAAGATGTAAATGGCCAAGAGCAAAGAACCGCAGATGCAGAATGTAGGATGCTCTTTTGATTTAAATTATTCAAAAGAGTAATGTAGTTTTAATGAGAAATATCTCCTATCGCCTTGGACTTTTGAACTCTTGTTCCCCAGTGCTGTTTGAAGAGGTTTAGAGGTACTCTCTGGCTGGAGAAGTATGCCACTGGGGCAGGTTTTGAGAGTTTAAAGACTCACATGTCATTTCTAGTTTGAGCTTCCTGCTTTGTGCTTGCGGACTATGATGCCAGCTCTCAACAACCGCTCAAGCCACCATGCCAGCCTGTCGCCTCTGCCCTGACATTATGGACTCACACTCCAGGACCATAAGCCAAAAATAAAATCTTTAAGTTGCCTTGGTCATGATCTTTTATCTCAGCAACAAAAAAAAAGAAGTAATGTTAAAGGTAGTGAGGACTGTTCTAGATTAGGAGCTAAAAAGATGGGCATGGTAGTTGAGAGTGGTGGCTCACACCTGTAACCCCAGCATTCAGGGAGGCATTCCGGTCTACAAAGTGAGTCCAGAACAGCCAAAGCTACACAAGAAAAACCTGTCTTGAAAAACGGGGGGGAAAAGATGGGTGTGGTGGTGCATGTATGTAATCTTAGTACACCAGAGGTAGGAGAATCAACTTAAATTTGAAGACTGCTAGGACTGATGTGTTCCAGGCCTGCCAGGGCTACATAACAGGAGCCTCTCTAAAGAACTAAACAAAAAGAAAAATAATAATGTGCTGTGTAAATTTTGATTGGATCTTGATTTTAAAAAATATGGCTATTAAAGTTGTGGACAAGCCAGGCAGTGATGGTGTGCCTTTTATCCTGTTATACCTGTCAGAGGTAGGCAGATCTCTGTGAGTTTGAAATTAGTCTAGTCTACAGAGTGAGTTCCAGGACAGTAAAAGCTACACAGAGAAACCCTGTCTCGAAAAACCATAATAATAATGATAATAAATTGTGAATAGGCCAGGCTGTTGATGTTAACACACAGGTGGTGTGTGTACTGGCAAACACAAGGTCCTAGCACTTTCCCAACACACACACATAGACAATATTAGATGGTGCTAGGATTACAGTTACTTAGGGGAAAGGTCCATGCTTAGATATTTAAGATACCTTCAAACGGTATGGTCAAAATACTATATTATATAGCTGGGTGTGGCAGCACATACCTATAACTTGGTCAAGTTATGAGGATAAGGAAATTGAGGCTAGCCTCAGGTATGTGGTGAGTTCAAAGTTAGCCTAGGCAACATGAGACTCCCTTAAACAAAAATTATACACTATTCAGATATATGAACATACAAATATATGCTCATATATATTTCATGTGAGTATTCACATGAAATTAAAAAGGAGACGGCTTACAGATAATGAATTAAATGGAGACTATGTAATAGTTCATGAGACTGACCTCTTAACTTTTTTGTATATTTGATAATTTTCAAAATGAAAATATGGGGGAAAGTATTCATAGCCTGGCTAGAATAGATTTTGAATGATTTCGTGTGTGTGTGTGTGTGTGTGTGTGTGTATTGGTAATGATGGAAGAAGAATGGAGGGGAAACTGGGCAATTGCTTGGTAGAGATCACATCCAAAGGCCTTCTAGGTTTGTGTGATCTGGCTGGCAAGAGATCACAGCCAAAGATCTTTTAGGTCTGTGTGATTCGGCTGGAATATAAACACTCCTTTAATTCAGGAGACAGGCAAGCAAATCTGAGTTCAGCGCCAGCCTGGTATAGAGTAATTTTCAGTGAAAGAAAAGCTTAGGTCCAGGCATGGTGGCACAAGCCTTTAATCCTAAGCAGTGAAGGTAAAGTTAGTTTGCAAAAGGAAACATCTGTGTTTGAAAGTGATGTCTGAGTGGCAGAAAATGTGAAAATCAGAGATTTGACAGAATAGGATACACCCAACTTTCATGAGAGAGGTCAGGGAAGCTACTTAAGGGGCAATGCAAAGGGAGAGAGGAGGCAGTTTTACCAAGACAGTAATAGAGACAGGTTGCAGAGAGAGAACTCAGGTGAAGACTGAATGAGCCAGAGAATGAGAAAGAACCAGGAGATTAGAACAGATTGCTTGATTTAGCTGGAAGTTAAACAGAGTAATTCAGAGGCCAACAGAAAAACCAGATTGAATCAGTCAGCTGGGAGAGGAGTTTGACACAGAACAGCTACATTGAACCAGCCATCCCAGAGCTCAGTAAGAACAAAAAAGGGTGAGAGTACTAAGCAGTAAGTCTCAGAGGCTGAAAACATTCTAGGCCTAAGTTAGACTGAAGCTAGAAACTTCCAAGACTAAGCCTAGATTAGCATATGGAGGCAGTAAGCCTTCAAGACAACAATTACCTCAGGAGAATAAAAGTTCCTTTTACAACAGACAGAAAGTGAGATTACAAGTGTATATGTGGTCCTCACAGTCAAAGACAGCAGAAAAGGTGGCAGGATAGATGTGCCAGTGAAGGCAATGGTCACCAGAAGCTCTTTGAAGGCTAGGAAGAAAAGTATGAATACTTGGTGGAGGGAGTTACTTAAGATGGTCTTTGACTTTCTTTTTAGCCTTAATTTTTTATTTTATGTACACAGGTGTTCTGCCTACATGTGTCTATACCACATGTGTGCCGTGCTCAGAGGTGCCAGAGATGATGGATCTCCTGGGACTAGAGTTACATGTTACATGTGGCCATCTTGTGGGTGCTGGGAATCAAACCCCCGTACTGTGGAAGAGCAATCAGTGCTCCTAACTGCTGAGCCACGTCTCCAACTCTTTAAGATGTCTTTGAAAGTGGAGTTACAGGCCCTGAAGACAAGGCTTACCCTCCAGTTAAGAGCTTTAGCTGCTCCTGTAGAGGACCCAGGTTCAATTCCCAGCAACCACATGGCAGCTCACAACTGTCTATAACTCCAGTTCCAGGAGATCTAATACTCTCACCACAGACATACAAGCAAAACACCAATGCACATTTTTTTAAAAAGGTGAGTTACTGTATTTCTCTGTATCATAGCTCCTGGGAGTATTCTCTTTGCCAGTGGGCATTTCCCATGTCCATATACAGGAAGCTTATAGCCTCCTTCTCTTAGAGCAAAGAGGGAAGGGAAAGATACTTCCCTTCATTTTACTGCACAGTGTATAACAGAACAACTTTTTTTTAAAAAGGATTATTGCTCCAATAAAGCACAGGTGACAGTGGGCATATGCTCCCACACATAGAAAGAGAAAAGGGAGCCATTTGACTTTTTTGCATGTGTGTATAGTGCTTTTGTTTGTGACTGTGTGTGTGTCCATCTGTCCCTGCATAAGGGGTGATGCCCATACAGCACAGCACACATGTGGAGACCAGAGGAGGGCCTCACCTTCCCCTTTGAGACAGTTTTTATTCACGGCTGTAAGTACCAGGCTTCCTGGCTGGTTCATTAACTTGCAGAGATCTTCCTGTCTTGGTCTCCACTGTTGCTAGCGAAGCATTAGGAGTGCAGATTTGCTGCCCTGCCCAGTTTTTGCAGGGGTTCCAGGGATTGGAGTTCTGGTCCTTGTCCATGACAAATGATTTACCCACTAAGCCAGCAGTTCTCGGCCTGTAGGTCACATACCAGATATCCTGAATATCAGATATTTACATTATGATTCATAACAGTAGCAAAATTACAGTTATGGAAGAGCAACGAAAATAATTATAGGTTGGGGCTCACCACAACATGAGGAACTGTATTAAAGGGTCCCAGCATTAGGAAAGTTGAGAACCACTGAACTAAGCAATCTCACAAGACCATAGCAACTCCTAGTTTTACAAAAAAGCAAAATGAGCTTCAGAGTTTCAAGCTTTCAAGACCAGTAGCCCATAATTTGATGTGGCCATATATTTTACTGTAAATAAAACAATTACTAGATATGTTAATATTTTAAAATTCCACTAGATGGCAGTCAGGATCCAGGCCTTATCTGATACCTGAGTTTTGTTGTGGTTTGTTTGTTTTTTTAACAAAACAGCAATGAAGCCCTGGTGTAGCAACATTGCCAAAGGGAAATTTTGGGAAGATGGTGGAAGGGAAAATAAAGAAGCATACTAACTATAACTAGAATGGCTAGTGCTAACCAAAAACGAGCAACTAAACGGTGCGTGACTGCGCACTCTGCACTCAGCTCGGCACCGTTGAATGCGCTGTGATCCTTCAACACATTTTG